TAGCCTTGAGTTAAAGAGCTGAGGGACAGTGCCCAGGCCCAGAGTTGAGGCCCATGACCAGACCCCCCCCAAATAAATAAATAAATAAATAAATTTTAAAAAGCATATAGAAAGGAATGATTTGGGGGCTGGGAATGTGGCTTAGTAGTGGAGTGCTTGCCGAGCATGCATGAAGCCCTGGGTTCAATTCCTCAGTACCACATAAACAGAAAAAGCCAGAAGTGGTGCTGTGGCAAGTGGTAGAGTGCTAGCCTTGAGCAAAAGAAGCTCAGGGACAGTGTCCGGGCCCTGAGTTCAAGCCCAGGGCTGGTAAAAAAAAAAAAAAGGAAATGATTTTTCATACTGCTAGTAAGTGGCAGACCCTCTTATCAAAGACCAACTTTCCTACCCAAAAATTACAAAGCTGAACAAAATGCAGGCAATTTCTGTGGAAAGAATCAGAAAGATAGCTGGGTGCCAGTGGCTCATGCCTGTAATCCTAGCTACTCAGGAGGCTGAGATCTGAGGATCAAGGTTCAAAGCCAGTCTGGGTAGGAAAAAAGACTCAAATCTCCAATAAACCACCAGAACACCGGAAGGGGCACTGTGGCTCAAGTGGTAGAGCACTAGCCTTGAACTGAAGAGCTGAGGGACACCACCCAGGCCCAGAGTTCAAGTCCCACAACCAACAAAAAATCAGAAAGATGTCAAAGTAGTAAAAATCTGAAATATAAATGAAGTAAACAGTCTAGAAAGATAAAAATGTGGGCTGGGTGTGTGGTTTAGAGGTAGAGGAAGCAGGTAGATTAGATTCTCACCTAGGATGCCGGAATTCACAAAATGTACTAAACTGAAATATTCAAGCAAATCATTCTGGATGGGGGTTCCAGAGATGAGCACCCGCCGACTAGTATTCAAGCTATCCAAAGCCTGGTAAGTCTGATTCTCAGAGTTCTTGAGCCTGTGTCCCTGCAAGAGAATGAATTCTCACTCAGGATATTACATGACATCTTTAAATGGCCCTAAGATCTGATACAGATAAAACATTACAGGTCCTGCAGCCTTGGGAATTAATCAGGGAGGAGGCAGCATAAGAGCTCACTCACCCACTTGCTTGGAGAGAAATATTAGTCACAAGACAGACCTTAAATTTCCAGACCAGTGCTACATCTATAAAACAAGGATTTCCTCTGTCCTCCCACGAGTTTTCCCCTCAAACGCCATAGCCTTAGCAGCTCACCTAGCCTGTTACAGATTCAGGTTTTCAGAGAGTCTTTCCCTCTCCACTAGCTAAAACCTCCTGAGCCAAGTACTTTTTTTTTATTAGTTCACAGGCCTTTCCTAAGCTATTGGTACAAAATGGATTTGGCTAAGCATCTCACTCCACCAGAATCCCCGTAGCTAGAGTATCTGTATATCTAAAGAGCTCCCTTCTCTTCCTTCACCAATCCCTCTTCTGCCCCTTCTGGCACATATTTCTGTCTTTCTTTTTTTTGGTCCGGTCATGGGGCCTGAACTCTGGGCCTGGACGCTGTCCCTCAGCTCTTCAGCTCAAGGCTAGCGCTCTACCACTTGAGCCACGGTGCCACTTCTGGTTTTTTCTCTTTTGCTTATGTGGTGCTGAGGAATCGAACCCAGGGCCTCGTGCATGCAAGGCAAGCGCTCTACCACTGAGCCACCTTCCCAGCCCCTGGCACATATTTCTATTAACTTCTTTCAAGATATTCAAGGACTCTACCTCTTTCCCTTTTCCCATGAGAACCACATGGACAAGATCAGGCCTGTGTCCTTTCTACATCAAGCTTTGCCTAAGTCTGTATTAACCAAGCCACACAAAACCCAACCACCAGTGAGACAATGAACAAGCAAATCAGCCTTGCTGCTCCAGGACGGCCCTTGACAAAGCAGTTAAACACAGACCCTGTCCCATCTCATTAGGTCAGCAATTAGACCCTTCCTAAGTTCTAAAAATTCGGATGGTCACAACAGACTTTTACTTTCTCACCAATTTTTTCTCACCAGTTTTTCTCATAAAAAACTAATGTTGGGCTTCCATAGGTCTCTGGGCAGGCCATTCTTCTGCCTGGTGTCCTCTTTCATAGGCAAATTCTTCTCCCCCTCCCACCTGGCAAAACGGTCTTCAATGAGTCCAGACTACTGGTCTTTCACCTCTGTGCTCCTACAGTAATATGTACATAAAGGTGCATAATGCCACTACTTAGTGAATCCTTTAGTGTGCCAGGCATTGTATTAAGTACTTAAATTCTTTTTTTATGAATTTCACACAACAACTGGAAATTATAATGCTCATTTAAGAGATAGAGATGGGCTGGGAAGGTGGCTCAGTGGTAGAGCGCTTGCCTTGCATGCCTGAGGCCCTGGGTTCAATTCCTCAGCACCACATAAGAAAAAAGCCAGAAGTGGCCAGAAGTGGCCACCATGCCAGGCTGGTCGCCCTTCTACTGTCTCTCACCCACTGCTATATATACTAGGGAACCATAATCATGCTCCACTGTGCTTTATCTCAACTAGGTATGAACTTTTTGGTCATGGGGCTTGAACTCAGACCCGGACACTGCCCTTGAGTTCTTTTTGCTCAAAGCTAGTGCTCTACCACTTAGAGCCACAGCTCCTCTTCTGGTTTTCTGGTAGCTAATTTGGAAATAAGAGTCTGACAGGCCGGGCGCTGGTGGCTCACGCCTGTAATCCTAGCTACTCAGGAGGCTGAGATCTGAGGATCGCGGTTCAAAGCCAGCCTGGGCAGGAGAGACTGTGAGACTCCTACCTCCAATAAACCACCAGAAAACCGGAAGTGGTGCTGTAGCTCAAGTGGTAGAGCGCTCGCCTTGAGCTGAAGAGCTGAGGGACAGTGCCCAGGCCCAGAGTTCAAGCCCCATGACTAACAAAAAAAAAAAAAAAAAGAGTCTGACAAACTACTGCCCTGGCTGGCTTTGAACCAAGATCCTCAGCCTCCTAAGAAGCTAGGATGACAGAAGTGAGCCACCTGGCATGAACTTATTAAAGCAGAGATCATATCAGATTGGCCTTTATCTTCAATGCTCATTGAATAGTAGATAAATGAAAGATAAATAGAAGTTCATCTGAAGGTTGCTACTAAAGATTAATTTTAAAAATACAGAATTTTAACTTTTAGTGGCATAAAAATTCTGGATCCTTTAAACTAAAGTTCCCTGAAAGGCAAGAACAGAATCCTGAAGGTCTGACACCTAACAGGTGTTTTAGGAGTAACTCTGTGAATGTGGTTAAGTAACCTACTTCCAAGATTATACTACTGGTAAGTGGCAGAGCATAAACACTGTGCCATGTCTCTTCACACATCCAAATCCCTTCCATCCTTCAAGTTCCTCTTTAGTCTAGGGAATACTACCTGGAAGGATGAAACCATTAAGCCCATAATGCCCACTCTCCGCAGAGTTCTAAGTACTGTCCAGTCCTCTTTGGACTATTGGTGTGGGAGATGCTCCTTACTGCATCCTCCAATACAGTATGCTCTGTCTTCCACATTCCCCAGTGACTAGTACAGGCAACTCTGTGATGGTCATGCTCAGTGACCGACAAACCTAACAGCCTGTGCTGAGTCAAGTACCTCATCACAAATGACCAGTCCAACATTGCCTTTCTGAAGGACTCCGACGTGCAGGCGGAAGGTCTCATAGGAAATGATGAGGATGGGAGAAGGGACTCTAGCTCCACGCTGGTTCATAAATCCTTCTACAAAAGAGAAGTGTCAAAGTAGCCAATCAGAACATCTTATTTTAAAAAAAAAGTTTGACAACTCTTTAAAGTAGTCTGGAAGCAACTGAAAATATTTTAATCATTTTCAATGGAAATTTTCTATCCCTGCAATTACCTCACAAATAAGTTAAAAATAATAGACCAGGCATAGAGGAGAGTTAATGAGACTAATCTCAACAAACAAACTAGATGCAGAGATTCAGACTTATGATCCCAACTATCAGAAGGCTATAGGTAGAAAGATTTTTTTTCTTTCCAGTTCTGGGGCTTGAACTCAGGGCCTGGGCACTGTCCCTGATTCTTTTGCTCAAAGCTAGTACTCTACCACTTGAGCCACAGAGCACTTCTGACTTTTTCTGTGTATGCAGTACTGAGGAATCGAAGTCAGAGCTTCATGCATGCTAGGCAAACACTCTACCACTGAGCCACATTCCCAGCCAGGAAGATTTTTGTCTGAGGCTGGCCCTGGACAAAAAAAAGAAAGGTGAGACTCAGAAAAATAACTAAAGCAAAAAAAAGAAAAAGAAAGAACGAAAGAAAGAAAGGAAGGAAGGAAGGAAGGAAGAAAGGAAGAAGAAAATGATGGCTTATGTCTGTAAACCTAGCTTTACTCAGAAGGCAAAGATCTGAAGGATCATGATTTGAAGTTAGCTCAGGCAGAAAAGTTAACTAGACTCTACAATAAGCAGCAATAGCCAGTAAAAAGCCCAGCTGGAGGCATAAGGCCCTGAGTTCAAATCTAGTACTGTCAAAAAAGAGAGCCAGGCACTAGTAGCTCATGCCTGTAATTCTAGCTACTCAGCAGGCTAAGATCTGAGGACTCTGTTTTGAAGCCAATTTGGGCAGGAAAACAAGACTATTATCTTCAATTAAACATCTAAAAACCAGAAATGGAACTGTGGCTCAAAGTGGCAGAGGCTACTCTTGAGCAAAAAAGCTCAGGGAAGACAGGTGCCCAAGGATCACACCTGTAATCCTAGCTATTCAGGAGGCTGAGATCTGAGGATCATGGTTCAAAGCCAGCTCAAGCAGAAAAGTCCCCAAGAGACTCTTATCTCCAATTTACCACTCAAAAAGCTGAAGGGGTGCTGTATTTCAAGTGGTAGAGCAGTAGCCTTGAACACAAAGAGGCTTAAGGATAGTGCCCAGAGGCTCAAGGACAGCACCCAGGCCCTGAGTTCAAACCCTGCAACATACAAGAAAAAAAAAAGTTCAGGGACAGTGCTTAGACACTGAGTTCAAGCCCTACAACCATACAGAGATAGAGAAAGATAGAGACAGACAGACAGTCAGAGAGCTGAGAAGTGCCACCATCTTTGTTAAACTTACATACCCAGCTTTCGGTCTATCTCATCTTTGGATCCTCCATCAATGGCCAGAGGTTGGATCCTCCCTCCAAGCCATTTCCCAACCTCATTGTACCAGTTCTTCACCAGGCTGGAGGGTGAGACCACCACTGCTTTGTCAATTTCTGGCTTGCAATCTGGACTCTGGCGCAAAAGTGTCCACATCAATGTGATGCACTGGAGTGTCTTCCCCAGGCCCATCTCATCTGCCATGATGCAGCCATGACTGCCAGGGATGCGCCGACTGGTGACACACTCCCACAGGAACTTCACTCCCTGGGGAATAACAGCATTCAGTCAAGAATGGCAATTCCCACACTTAGACTGGAGCCAGCACCTCATTCCCCTGATCCTCCCTTACCTCTCTCTGATGAGGTCGTAAAACCTTACTGAGAATAGGATCAACAACCACATGGACAGGGAGTTTTTCCCTGAGAAAACAGAGCACAAAGAAACCATAACTTCAGTGAAAGCGGTGTCTTGCTCATCCAGAGGCTACAGAGGTAGCTGCCCAAAAAGAGCACCTTCTTGGCCAAACCACAGTAAGACCCTGCTCTAAGAATTATGTAAGGGTTCTGGGCACTGGTGGCTCATGCCGGTAAATCTACCTACTCAGGACACTGAGATCTGAGGTTTGTGGTTCAGCCATCCCAGCCAGAAAAGTCTGTGAGACTCTTTTTTTTTTTTTTGGTCGGTAGTAGAGCTTGAACTCTGGGCTTGGGTGCAGTTCCTGCGCTCTTCAGCTTAAGGCGAGCACTCTACCATTTGAGCCACAGCGCCACTTCCGGTTTTCTAGTGGTTTATGGGAGCTAAGAGTCTCACGGACTTCCTGAGTAGCTAGAACTACAGGCGTGAGCCACCAGCGCTTGGCTGGGAGACTCTTATCTCCAATTAACCACCAGAAAACCAGAAGTGGTAGAGAGCTAGCCTTGAGCAAAAAGAGCACAGGGGCAGCACCCAGGCCCTGAGTGCAAGCCCCACAACCAAGCAAAAAAAAAGAATTAGGTAAGGGTGACCCTATGCCTTCACCTCAACCGTTCTCCCACCACAAAGGAGCACAGGAGGGGGTTAGGAGCCCCACTAACTGGACATACAGACCCTTCCCCAACCACCTACTCTCTGGCTAGTACCACAGACATGACAGCTCTCCAACCATCCCAGAAAGAACTTACACCAAATACCCTCCTTTCTATAAGGTATGTGCACCACCAGCACAGGACACTGCCAGCGTACATACTTGTCAAGCTTCAGCTGGTCATGGGCACTCAGTGCAGGAGGCTCATACAGGACTAAGGCACCTTCCTCCAGGGGGTCATGGAGGGCCCGGCGGACCCCAGCTCTTTTCAGGCCCAATGCTCGAGAACCCAGGGGACCTAGAAATCAGCAACCAATTATCAAAGGAACCTTTGTTTTCTGTTGCTCCAGCAGGCAATTCAATTGCCCATCCTTCACATATCCTGAGCTCCCATATGACCCTGCTTCTTAGAACTCCTCCAAACCCAGTTCAGGCACTGTCTCTCTTCAGCCTTGGACCAGCCTTTTCCAGTTCATTTTTCCCATTCAACTACAAATTTCTGGAGTGCTGAGTCTTATTCACCTCAAGCCAAGTCAAACTCCAGAGGGTCTAAAACCATACTGGGGCCTTTCAAGGCTGAAAGTCTGAGAACTGGCCACCTTCTTTCCTAGCCCCAGTTTTAGCACAAAGCAGAGCCCTACATGAGACAGGGAAAGACTACAGAATTCCCAAACAGCCAACCTCTAGAGGAGATAACACGGAACATACTCGGACTGAAGGAAGCCCAAGTCCATCAGCCGCCAGGCGCTTGCTGAGCACTGACCCCCCCATCAACATAATGAACAACAGTTCATCTTGGTAACTCTTAATAAGACTAATACAGTTTCCACGTAGGCCTCAGAAGGGTCACCTTAAGCACAGCCACCACTGGACTGGCATCCTGAATTCCCAGCTAAGCTTGTCTTTATAAAAGCAAAGGTCTTTATCCAGGCAAACTCACATGACTGATTCAAAAACTGAAAAGTCTCCATTTACCTTGATAATTTGGAATAGGAACTTTGAAAGGCTTTGACAAAATGCTTCGAATAAATGCTTCCTAAAAAGAAAGAAGAAGCAGGATTCAGGACTGGAACCATCTTCTTATCCATCCACATTAGGTTTTGTACAGCAGCTTCCTTTTTTGAGATCTCACATAAGGTTCTGCAATACCCAAGCTCAAAACTGCAGAGCCACAGTTGATCACAAGGCCTAGAGTTCACTTTCTTATAAAAACCATGGCAGGGCTGGGAAGGTGGCTCAGTGGCTTGCCTTGCATGCATGAGGCCCTGGGTTCGATTCCTCAGCACCACATAAGCAAAAAGAAAAAAGGCGGAAGTGGCACTGTGGCTCAAGTGGTAGAGCGTTAGCCTTGAGCTGCTGAAGAGCTGAGGGACAGCACCCAGGTCCAGAGTTCAGGCCCCACGACCAGACCCCAACCCCCCCCCAAAAAAAAACCATGGCAATGAGGACACCTAGATTTTCTCTAGGATGCAATACCTTAAGAATAAAGGAGGAATATTTTATGTCGGTATAATTTGTGGAGAAGGGGAAAAACAAGTCATTTAAGGATACAGGTGGACCCGTTGCAACAATGAGAAGTACAAGTTGTCATGTCGAAAACGAACTTTACAACTTTGGTGGGGGGGGGGAGAGAAT